TCAAAGCATTTCATATTTTTAAATAATTTTCTTTTTAATATTGTATTTATTTATTCATGAGAGGCACACAGAGAGAGAGAGGCAGAGACATAGGCAGAGGGAGAAGCAGACTCTCTGTGGGGAGCCCAATGTGGGACTCCATCCTGGGACTCTGGGATCATGTCCTGAGCCAAAGGCAGGCACTCAACCACTGAGCCACCCAGGCATCCCAGCATTTCATATTTTTTGATGCAGTAATGTCTTAACTCAGGCTGTTATAGCAAAATACCATAAACTGGGTGGTTTATGAACAACAAAAGTTTATTTCTCACAGTTGTGGAGGTTAGAAGTCCTACATAGTGGTGCCAGCATGGTTGGATGAGAGCCCTCTTCCCAGTTACAGATGACTGACTTTTTTGTATCCTCACATGGCAGAGACAGAGAGAGAGAGAGGGAGAGATTGAGCGCGAGCATGAGCTCTGGTCCCTTTATCACCTTATTAGGACACAAATCCCATTCACAATGACTCCACACCCACAACCTAATTATCTCCTAAAGGCCCCACCTCCAAATACCATTACCTTGGGGGTTAGATTTCAACACATGAATCCTGAGGGGACACAAGCATTCAGTCCACAACAAATAGTAAATGATATGTTTTGATTCATTTTCTGATTGTTCAATGACAGTTATATAGATACACATTTGATTTGGGGGCTCCTGAGTGGTTCAGTCGGTTAAGCGTCCAACTCTTGATTTTGGCTCAGGTCATGATCTCAGGGTCATGAGATCGTGCCTGCAATGGGATCTGCATTCAGCAGGAAGTCTGCTTGAGAATCTTTCCTTCTGCCCTTCCCCTCCCCTCCCCTGTACCCCGTCTCTCATGGTCATGCATGCACTCGTGCATGTGCGTTCTCTCTCTCTCTCTCTCTCTCTCTCTCTCTCTCTCTCTCTCTCTCAAATAAATAAATCTTTAAAAAAGAAAAGAAAAAAGAAAAGAAAGAAAACCTTTGGCTTGTATATCTGAGTGTGTGTGTGTGTGTGTGTGTGTGTGTGTGTGTGAGTGTACATGTGATATATTGAGGAAGGCATTCTGATGTCAGTCAACCTAAAGGATATCCCTGTGCAAAATGGTACCTGAGTCAGTTTACCTAGCAGTGTGTGTGTGTGTGTGTGTGTGTGTGTGTGTATCTAGGCATCAACAGTCAGAGATGATAAATAAGGAACATGTCCATTAATATTTAGACTACCTTCCATGCCCCCATCTGATTGACTGTAGAAACTTTGCCATCCCAAAATGTTTCCTTATTATTGCTAAGAGGCCACTCTGAGGGTTCACAAAGAGATCTGCACATGGTCTCTTCCCCCAGCCTCCTTACTGGGTTGCCACCCAGGGGCCTTTGTCTATTATCCCCTTGAAGCTAGAATCACCCTCTTGCAATTCTGGCCAATGGAAATGGAGATTGACAGGGAGAAGCACCACTAACCTTTGCCAATCCATTGTAAGTATGGAATAGGTCCTTTCTTTAATTTCCCTCAAAACAACAGAGAACTGTAGGGGAGAAAGTAGAGAATGCACATGTTGACACGGAGACTAACTCAGGAGTTCTCTGCTTCAAAAAAAGTATTTTTTTTCCCTTCAATCCAAGCTTTTCCTCTTAGTTGTCACTTTTTGTCACAGCACCAATCTGCTCTCAGCATGACTTTGTGGAAGAGATTTGCTCTCATTAGCAGAAAACACATGTCCTACCCCCAAGAGCTTGCTTTAAGACTCTAATGGGACTTATAGTCAATATAAGCTGTCTATATAATCTATGGTGTCAAATAGCACATCTCAGGTAGGTAGGACATCAATACTCCAAGCCACAGCGAGTGCCTGCCAAATTTGGTACAGCTCTTTCACAGTCTCTTCACAGTGAGAGTTAAAGTTCCTATTTTTAAAAAAGTTAACTTTGGGATGCCTGGGTGGCTCAGTGGTTGAGCGTCTGCCTTTGGCTCAGGGCGTGATCCCAGGATCCGGGATCAAGTTCCACATTGGCCTCCTCCTGGGGAGCCTGCTTCTGCCTCTGCCTGTGCCTCTACCTCTCTCTGTGTGTGTCTCATGAATAAATAAATAAAATCTTTAAAAAATAAAAAAAGGTTACTTTGTAGAAATCCCAGTAACATTAACCCTTCCTCATCTGTGAGCAACTGTCAAATAACTTCTGAAGAACAAAGACAGAACTTCTACTTTTTGCCTTAAACAATAGGCCAAAATACAAGAGTGGTTTCTAGACATGGGGCATTAGGCAGAAAAGAACGGTGATTCTTGAGTGAAGGAAACAAATAAGATAAGCCCTATTTTTGCCTTGGCTTGCAGCCTAAAGAGAGGGGCCAGACTGCATGCAGCCCTGTGAGTGAGAACCTAAAGAAGGCGTGATGGCCTCACTGACTTGAAGAGACAAGACTCAGAGTTCAGAGAAGCAAGGCTAAATTACACTGCTGGGCAGGGGATAGTTGCTTAAAGAAAAAGCTCTGAATCTGCAGAGGGTTCCCCTCCATATTTAGTGGCGTCCTGACTAGCTCATGCATGTGAGAATATGACTAAGGCCAGAAAAATAGCCCCCAGAAAGAAGCAGGAGGAAAAATCCCCAGAGCTTACACCACTTCTCAGAAGTCAGAATGGGAAGGTCTCCGAACACAGGAGGGATGAAGTGGAGTACTCAGTAGGTAACAGTACCCATGTTACCTACACTAGAAGCTGTTCTGAGCCTACCTAAAAAAGCTTAAAAGTAAGTCTCACATGGATCAAACATTTTCAATTTACTTAACGGGGGGTTCCAGAATAAAGGAAAAAAATACTTAAAAGGAATATATTACAACACACACAAAAAGCAAGAACAACAGAGCCCAAAAGGTAAAATTTACAATATCTGGCATCTAACCAAAATGGCAGAGAAGCAGGCAAATGTGGCTCATAGGAAGGTGAATATGCAAACAGTAAGAGTAGAGCCAGAAATGATACAAATGACAAAATTAGTCAACCGGGACATTAAAATAGCTATTATAAACATACCCCTCATATACACAAGAAGGTAGAAGAATGCATCAGAATGATGAAGAAAAATGGAAGACAAAAAGCCCTAAATCAAACTATAAAAATGAAAAACACAGTGCTTTAGATAAAAAATACACCGAATGGGATCAACAGCTGATAATATATCATGATGAAGTAGAGTTTACACCAGGAACGAAAGGAGGTGTTTCAATGTTTATTTAACATTGAAAAAAATCAACTATTTCTTCACCATATTGAACAATTAAAAAAGAAAAACCATATGAATATCAGAAAAAACATCCGTCAAAATTCAGCATTCAATCATGGTTTAAAACAACTCTCAGCAAAACAGGAATAGCTGGGAACTTCTTCAGCCTAATTAGGGGAATCTATTAAAAATCTACTTCTTAAAAAAAAATCTACTTCTTAAAAAAATAAAATAAAAATCTACTTTTTAATGGTGAAAAGACTGAAATCTTTCCTCCTAAGATCAGGAGCACTTTCAGGACTTCTACCCAACAGTATTTTCTAGAGTTCCTAGCCTTGGCAAAAGGCAAGAAATGGAAATTAAAGACATACTGATATGAAAGGAAAAATCAAACTATCTTTTTTAACAGATAACATGACTGTCTATATAGAAAATCCTAATGTATGAAAAGGTTACAAAACCTTATAAGTGAATACAGCAAGGTGGTAGGATTTAAGGTTAGAATATCAGGGGCCCCTGGCTGACTCCATCTGAAGAGCATGAGACTCTTGGTCTCAGGATCATGAATTCAAGCCCCATGCTGGATGTAGAGACTACCAAAACAAAAACAAAAAGAAAAGAAAAGAAATCAGTATATCAAAATCAGTTTTATTTCTTTTTTTATTTTTATTTTTTTAAGTAAACTCTACACCCAGCATGGAGCCCAAGGCCAACCGTTTTCAATCTTATCTGCATATTAGGATCATCTGGGAGCTTTAGGAAAAAAGACCAATGACTATGCCCACCTCCAGAAATTCTAATTCCGATTAGCTTGGATATAGGCCAGATATCTACATTTTTCAAAAGTGCCTAAGTGATTCTAATGGCCAGAGGCGGCTCGGAGCTGTGCGCACCCATTCACCTCCTCTGGGCCCACACAGTAGTTCAGCTCATCTCCTTCCCCTTCATGTTCTCTCCTCTCCTGCCAAAGTCCTCCGCAGGCTGCCTCTAACCACTGCTCTGCTCACACCCCTCACTCTCTCTCTTCCTACTTGGCCTTTCTGTCCCTTATGTTGGGCCATTTTACCCACACCCACAGCTCTGTGGCCCAAAAGGCTAACCTCCCACATCCTGGAAAATCCAGGAGAGAAACGCTTTCCTTCCGGGTGTCGACCTCCGAGGCCAGAGAGCTGCCTTCCCTCTGGACCACAGCAGCTAAGCTGTGAGCCTCGGAGCCTTGCCCCTGCCCTGTAACCTGGTCTCACAGGGTGAAGCTGTCCCAGTTTGCTCAGGACTCTCCTGAGGGTTTAGCATTGAAAGGCCTCCCTCCTGGGAAACCTAAGAGGCCCGGACAAACGGGATGCTTGATACCCCTAACCCTGGCGCCAGTGCAGGACTTCTTTGTTCAAGGGCTACTTCTAAGCCTATTCAAGGTTCAAGTCCACACGAGGGTAGACATGACAAGTTACCACATGACCTAAGGCTTACCATGCTGGAGCTTGTTATCAAATCCTTACGCAGTCAAATTTCCATAGTTTATTTGAAATGGTAAAATTGTCATATTCTGAGGCAGTAAATGTGTCAGTCAAAAACACATATAGAGTAGCATATGTTTGCTGAGGCAAATAAAATGAGATTCTGTAGCTGCTACTCTTAGTTCTTAAGTAGTATGGGAAGATCATTTAAAGTGTGGATTATTATTTTTTGTTCAAGCTTCGGTAAAAGTTTTGATAAAATATATAAGGAATAACAACTTATGTATACTTTACATTTGAAAAAGACATTACTCATCTCCAGTGGCAAAGCACAGTGCTCTGAGTTGGTTTTCCACAGCCAGAGATGGACTCTCGGGCTCCAGCCACACTCTTTCATCCAGTACTGCTGGGGGCCAAGGATGGGCATGTGGACATCTGGTGCTGTGGGAGGCAGAGTGGAAGTACACGCGGGCAGGATAGGCCTCTGGAGGACACGAAACAGGAGAAATTCCACTATCAGTGACTTTGTATCAGTATCAGTGACTACTACTTTGTCATTACTGTGTCCCTGTGCCCATATGAAAAATGCATATACTCCTGCCAAGGGTACACATCTTGGCATGAATGGATTTATTAGCTCATATTCCTTCTTAAGACAAATGCAGCAGCACAAAAGCCCCAGATCTAAAGAGCGAACTATTGGAGGGAAGGAAGGGAAAAGGAGGTGGAGTATGGTATTAAATTCTGGTACTCACCTGTCTGAACCCCTGGAGTTGGCCCCTCCACTCACCTAGAAAGCCCCACCACTTGCCAATTCTGGGAAACCCAGTCTTTTTTGCAGAAGTGGCTAAACCCCACCTCCACCCTGAGGCTCCTGCCCTAAACCTGAGACCCCCTCATCTTCCTCTGAAATGTAGCAATTAGGATTAGTAAAATGTACTTGACAGGCACCTGGGTGACTCAGTCGGTTACGAGTCTGCCTCTGCTCGGATCATGACCCTGGGGTCCTGGGATCAAGTCCCATGTTGGGCTCCCAGCTCCCTCTCCCTCTACCTGCCCCTCCCTCTGCTTGTGCTCTCTGTCAAATAAAGAAATAAAATCCTTAAAAAAAAATTAAAATGTATTTGACAACCAATTTTGTATCCCAAGCAACACTTCTTGAAATATGACTTAACTTTTTTTGTGGTCAGTAAACCTTCCTGTATTTATATTTTATCTTAGTAGTTAGATTGTGACTTTTTTGAAGAATAATCATACCTGATGGATCCATATTTCCCACAAGGTGTTGCTAAGGGCCTGGCCCAGGCAGACAGTGTTTGATAACTTTTAGACACATGGATTCTGGCAAAAAAGAAACAAAACAACCAAAAACCAAACTCAACTCATGTTCAGGGTTCAAAGTTTAAATCCCATATCTCTGTCACTTGGGGCTACAACTCAAAGGAATTATCAACTGCTCAGCATCACTGGACTTTCTTAAAAGGGTAATGATAACTTACATTTAGCTTGGCACACTAAGTGCACCATGCATGTTGGCTATAATTAATAGTAGCTTTTCATTCTTGTTTTTAATTCTAGAGCACTTTGGACATTGCAGAGGAGGAGCTTTCCTAGGGAAAATTCTAAGGGAGAGCAGAGGTGGCTTGAATGAATCCATGTTCACAACTCTCCTGAGGATTCCAGGCCCTAAATTGAGCATTATTATAGATCTGACCCTGCCTATCATCTCTCAGAATTTATGTAGGAATTTAATTGTCTAAATAGTATTAAAATCTGTAGAGTTTGTTTTACTTTAGTTGTTTTTCCCCGCTAAGCTTAGCTGTGGCTCACCCAGAAGCAGCATGAAAATTAAAAGGCCCTTTCAGCAGCAGAGAAATGTCACCACTGAAGCCATTTAAAAAAATGATCGATGGACATAATCCTGTTGCTAGCAGAGACCAAAGCATATGTAATTGGAACTGAAGAAGACAAGCAGTCTAGATGAGACACCTCAGTAAAGATCTGGGGAGCAAAAAGCAAGACAGAGAAGCTCTCCAACCAATGTTATCTGAGCAAGGCAAAGCACAATGGAGTCTCCTAACACTCAAAAGATAGCACGTCTGAGGCAATATTATTTTATACAAATGCTGGGGGTGGTCACGATACTGTAACGCAGAATGTTGATCTCAAACTCAGAAGGCAAATAGATCAGGGTTCAAACTGTGGCCCTGCCATTTATCAAATGTAAGACTTTAGGCAACTCTGTGAGCTGGCACCCCAGAATCCAGTGGAAACGTGTCCACTGATTTCCACATCTGTAATTAGGGACAATAGGTGATCAAAATAATAACACTGACCTCATGAAATTGTTTAAAGTATTAATGTGCATACATTTTTAGCATGGTGCTAGGAACATAGTATATATTCTTTTGTTAGTTATTATTGCTCTATTACCCCCCTCCCAATAATAATCATACCCCATTATTCTTTTTTAAAGATTTTATTTATTCATGAGAGACATACAGAGAGAGAGAGGCAGAGACACAGGCAGAGGGAGAAGCAGGCTCCAGGCAGGGAGCCCGATGTGGGACTCGATTCCGGGTCTCTGGGACCAGGCCCTGGACCGAAGACAGCAGTAAACCACTGAGCCACCCAGGCTGCCCTCTACCCCATTATTTTAAGGCCACAACACCTGGTCTTAGCCAGAATGCCAAGCAATCAGCAGAAAGTCTCAATTATTTAACAGCTTTCCTTCTTTGATTAATCTTCAGCCATGGCCACCCTCAATTTTTTTTTTTTTTGTATTTCTCATAATGATCATTATAATGGACAATAAAGCATTTCCTGTGGGATAGAGTCATTCAGATTTCCTATGTGGAGGACAAGCTCAATTTCCTGGGAAGGACCATCTGGCATTGCCCCAGGCTGTACTTGGGAGCCAGGAACATTGCCTGGCAGTTGGCATAGGAGTATGTTTCATTTTTTTCTTGTAGGATTCAATAGTTATATTTTGCTCAAATTACAGTTCTGCTTTTCTTTTCTGGGATCAAATGTGAACTTAGGCCTGAAATGCACATTCATTTTATAAAACTGTCGTCTCTAAGTAGCAGCAATCTCTAGATCTTGACCCAGTAGAAAAACTCTGTGATGCTTCTATTAAGAAGGCGATGTGTTTCACCTAAAACAAATAAGTAATGGAATGAAAAGGACAGCATAGGAAATATAGTCAATAACATTATAATAACTTTGTATGGTGACAGATGGTAACTATATTTATCATGGTGAACATTTCATAATGTATACAATTGTTGAATCACTATATTATACACCCAGAACTAAAAGATTATTGTATATCATCTATACTTCATTAAAAGAAAAATACCTCTGTGGCAGGCAAGAGAGTGGCAGATGAACCAAAAGCATTGAACCTGGGTGATGGGTGCATGGTTTATGACCTTGTTATATATGCTTGAAATTTTCCGAGTTCCAGAGTTTTTTCTTTTTCTTATTTTTTAAAGATGTTTTTTAAGATTTAATTATTTTTTAAAGATCCATTAATTTATTTGAGGGAGAGTAGGGCAGTAGGGGCAGAGGGAGAAGGAAAGAGAGAATCCCAAGTAGACTCACCACTGAGTACGGAGTCGGCCAGGAGCCTTGATCCTATGACTTTGAGACCACAACCTGAGCCAAAATCAAGAGTTGGATGCTTAACTGACTGAGCCACTCAGGTTGCCCCAGGGTTTTTTTAAGGTTGGAAAATAATAACTAAGAATGTCAAAATGTGTCCTTAATGTGTTCATTTTCAGAAAAAGGGTGCTACAAAATTGCACATACTCTATGATTCCCCTTTGGTATATAAATATAGTTGTACCCGTAACACACAAAAAAAATTAATTTTAGCAGCATTATGTAGTTTTCAGTGTAGAATTATTTCACATTTTTTCTTAAATTTATTCATATCTATCTTATGAGTTTTAAAGAAGCTAAAATGTATTTTTCTTAAATTACATGTTCAGTTTTTTCCTGCTATATATAGAAATTAAACAGAATTATGTGTGTGAAAACTGTATCTTCTTGAAAGATTCCTAAGTTCACTTTTAGTTTTCATAGTTGCACTGTTGATTCCATAGGATTTCTATGAAGACAATCTTGTTCCCTGTGAATAGAAACCTTTTTCTTTGTATCCAAACTTCACGGTTTGTATCAGCTAAGACTTCAGTAAAATATGGAGTAGAAGATGGAGAGGGGTCAGCTTTGCCTTGTTTCTGATTTTAGGGGACATGCTTTGAATATTTCACTGTGACCTGGGTCACTATGTAAAACAGTATGGAGGTTCCTCAAAAAATTAAAATAGAACTACCATATGATCCAGCAATCACATGTCAGGGTAATTACAGAAAGGAAATCAGGATTTCTTTCTTTCTTTCTTTCTTTTCTTTCTTTCTTTCTTTCTTTCTTTTTTTGAAATCAGGATTTCAAAGAAATATCTGCATTCTCATTTTCACTGCAGCCTAATTCACAATAGCTAAGCAACCTAACTGCCCATTAACAGATGAATGGATAAAGAAAATGTTGCATACGCCCAAAATAGAATAGTATTCAGCCTTAAAAAAGAAGGAAATCCTGCCATTTGCAACAACATGGTTGAATGTGAAGGACATTATGCTAAGTGAAATAAGCTAGACACAGTTGAACAAATGCTAAATAATGCTACTTATATGAGGAAACTAAAATAGTCAAACTCACAGAAGCAGAGAGTAAAATAGTGGTTGTCAGGGGTGGAAGGGGTGGGAGAAACAGGGACAAGTCAATAGGTACAAGTTCCAGTTATACAAAATTAGTAAGTTCTAGAGATCAACTGTACATCATAGTTTCTATGGTTAATAATACTCTATCGTGTACTTAAATTTTTGGTATGTTGTGTTTTTATCACCAAATAATAATGAAATAATAATAATAAGAGAGTAAGAGGAAACTTTTGGAAGTGATAGAAATCTTTATGGCACAGATTGTGGTAATGGTTTCATAGATGTATACTTATCTCCAAACTCATCAAATTATATTAATTATGTATAGCCCTTGGTATGTCAAGCATACCTCAAAAGGTGGTTTTTAAAAGTCAAAAACAAATTAATTTAAAAAGAAGGCGATGTGACCCCCGAGACATTAGAAAGAAAATCTCAGAAATCCATATCCTCTGAGCTGGTAAAAGAAGATAAAGCTGAGAGCTTTTACACTACATTGCAAATGCATTTTTATTTATTTTATTTGCCTTTGTTTCCATGAGCATGTGAAGTGAACTGTCAATGAGTTCATTTTATTTTTTGTTTTTTTAGATTTTATTTATTCATGAGAGACACAGAGAGAAAGAGAGAGAGAGGCAGCGACACAGGCAGAGGGAGAAGCAGGTTCCCTGCAGGGAGTCCGACGTGGGACTCCATCCCAGGACCCCAGGATCACGCTCCGAGCTGAAGGCAGGCACTTAACTGCTGCACCACCCAGGCATCCCTCAATGAGTTTATTTATATGACTCGTATGGTGGTGTATTTGCTGAGATCTACTGCTGTGATCATTATTTATGACAAAATTAGCTCCTGTTGTTAAGTGGACCAGGTTCCCACTCATAGAGCACATGTATGTTGGTGTTATTTTCATCTCAAATACAAATGGCAAGCACCATAATTGTGAAAGAGGACAAGCAAAGTGGATTATAGATTCCTAATGGAAGACCAAATATTCTGGGGACACTTCAAACTTTATTTTTTAATAGCATCTGAAGAAAACTGAGAAATTGCCCCAAATCTGATGATAACCGCACCCTGACTTTGGTGATGACATTTTTTAAATTAAAAAACTGAATTTCAGCTTATGATCTCTTGGTTTAATTTCCTGTGTTGTTACTCTAGCTTGTCAGATTACTGCAGGAATAAACTTGAAAGATCACAGGAACTTTAAAGTATATTACATGTCTTAATGGCAAGGAATATGCTTTTAAAAAAACTGAAATTGCCTTGAAATCAAGATATAGAAAAAAACTGGGTGCCTGGGTGGCTCAGGCAGTTAAGCATCTGCCTTAGGCTCAGGTCAAAATCCCGGGGTCCTGGGATCCAGTCCCATGTCTGGCTCCCTGCTCACCGGGGAGTCTACCTCTCTGCCCCTCCCCCCACTCATGCTTTCTCTCTCTCAAATAAATAAATAAAATCTTAAAAAAGAAGATCTAGAAAAAAACTACTCAGGCAGGGACACACAGGGTGGACTTCAGTGCCTTTGGAAAGAAAGTTTTGCTGATTAGGATTGGCATAATTGAACACAGACTTTGAACCACTGGGAAATTCTGGATTTCCAGTCATTGGGACCCCCTTAGAATTTTATTACTGGGACGCCTGGGTGGCTCAGCAGTTGAGTGTCTGCCTTTCACTCAGGGCGTGATCCCAGAGTTCCCCGTCGGGCTCCCTGCATGGAGCCTCCATCTCCCTCTGCCTGTGTCTCTACCTCTCTCTCTCTCTCTCTCTCTCTTTCTCTGGGTCTCTCATAAATAAATAAAAAAAATCTTTACCAAAAAAAAAAAAAAAAGAATTTTCTTACTAATTTAGCTACATGACATAGTAACATTATCTCTTGAGCATTTTCCATTCTAGACTGTCACAATGGTCAAAAAAAAAAAAAAGAATAAATTACTTTTCAAAGTCCTTTATCGAAGGCACCATCTTTGGCTAACTTTGGCCTGGCCCCACAGGAAGCAGCTAAACCTCTGCTGGTCCATATCCAGTTCTACCAGTGGCTCCATTCCAAGCTCATCCAAAGAGCCATTGCCCAGTGAGGCCTAGACTCCTGGAATATTCCCATTAGAGCAATTGCTGGGGCCCAGGCCTGGCAATGAAATAAAACAATAGCACTTCCTCATATTCTAGCAAGCTTTTATTTCAAAAACATCAAAATGTGCCCATATGTCATCTGGCAGGAATGACATTTAGGAATTCATTTAGACCATAATTCTTAAAACACTGGTTTATAAAAAGTTTCACTGATTCCCTGTGAAATGAGAAAAGTAAGGAGAATGGAGTGAGTCTGTAATACAACTCATTAAAATTTAAAGACCTATTATTCTGAAAACATTGCCTGTCCTATTTTGACCGAAGGGGTGCTAAGTACTAGCAAAGCCTTCCTGATTCCACTCTCATCCTTCTTGTCTACGTGAACCAATAGACTCCCATTTTGTCAAGCAATTTCTTTTCCTCAGGTCAGCACTCATGATCCTAAAAGGTCAGACTATAATGACTATAAGGAGCATATATGTTCATCCTCTCAGGAAGATGAGGAAACTGAGGTCCCCTGACTTACACAAAGCCACATGCTGCTAGCATCTCTGTGGCCTCCCACCCCACTGCATCCTCTCACAAAGCTTCTGACATCTTTACCCAAACATTCCTTGGCACCACCGCTTTTATGCTATTGTTCTTTGGCTGTTTGGACTCTTCTGTCTGTCCAATTCCATTCCCTCCTAAAAGCCTTTGCTGAGCCCCCACCCCACTGTTCTCTCTTTTTCCTCTGGGTCACCCGAGTAGCACCCCCAACAATCAACTGTATTCACTGGTGGCCTACTGGGATCTTTCGTGTTGATACTTACCTCTGGCCTCAATTTAATTCATGTGGATGAATGGATCCTTGATATCCATCTTGACTAAGTTCCTTGAAGGGCAGGACTTTCTCTTCTTCTTTTTGTACTTCCCAAAGCAGCCAGCACCAGCACCTTACAGAAGATTAATGTGTATAGGTTGATCTTTTAATCTGTTTGTATTCATCACCTCTTTCCAAGAAAGTCATTAGTCTCCTCATCTTTTTCACCTTCTAGCAGAGGGGCCCCCACCACCATCCCCCCGCCAGGCCTAAAACAGTTTGGGTCTGGTAATGCTTAGACCTTCCAGTCTAAGTCAGAAGTGGAAAAACCCAGGCACCAGGCAGCTGCACCGGGCAGCTCCATGCCATACCATGTGGGAGCTTGCAGGCTACTCTCTATGCAAACTGGATCAACACACAACCTAGATATGTCATTGTAAATCATCAAAGTCACATCTTCACTTCTTTTCTTTACAATACAGTTGTCAAGAACCTCTTGAGAAGAAAAGATATTGTCTAGGAAACCTGAAGGTGGTGACCATTAGGAAACATTAAAAATAGGAAGATACAGGGTCCAGAATCCAAATGTTGAACGAAATTTTGTATTGGGCCATATAAGTAAACGAGCAAAACATTTGTTCTTTCCAGTCAACATGAAATAGGGCCATTTTTTATTTATCATGCATCCTACTGAGTGTTGTAAACCTCACAACAAAGTAAGGGCTGTTCCATTTTATGGACTAGGAAGCTAATTCCCATTGAAACTAATGGTGGTGGGGAGTGAGAGAGTACGTAAAGTCCTTCAGCAGGGAGTTGAAGCGCTGTTTCATACCCATGTTTTTTGCTGTTGTTATTGTTTTTGTTTTTTTAAGGTTTTATTTATTTATTCATGAGAGACACAGAGAGAGACAGAGATGTAGGCAGAGGGAGAAGCAGGCTCCATGCAGGGAGCCCACCGTGGGACTCGATCCCCAGTCCCCAGGATCACACCCTGGGCTGAAGACGGTGCTAAACCGCTGAACCCCCAGGGCTGCCCCAGACCCATGTTTTAAAAAGCACAGCAACTAGAGCTGCCTGGATGGCTCAGTTGGTTGAGTGTCTGGCTCTTGATTTCAGCCCAGGTCATGATGTTGACCTGGGGCCTGGGATGGAGCCCAACATCAGGCTCCCTACTCAGTGGGGAGTCTGCACGGCTCCCTCTCCATATGCCCCTCCCCCCATTTGTGTGTTTTCTCTCTCTCTCTCTCTCTCTCTGTCTCTCTCAAATAACTACATCTTAAATAACAAAGTACAGCAACTAAACCTAGCACCAGTAGTATGTGTATATTTACTCCATTATGCCTCACATGAATTTATCTTAATGCAAATCATAGTTAAGATTCTTCCACTGATACAGTTTCCAATTATACTAAAATGGAAACAGCTTGATTTTCCTAATTAGGAAAGGAGATGTTCAGTACTTTTTACCACAGTAAAGAAATCACCAAAAAAAAAAAAAAAAAAGATGCTTATTGTAAAAGCAAACAAAAATAGTCACTATTTGGGAATAACTGATTAATAGTCTAGGGATAACTAGATTAATAACAAAGTGTTCTTTAAAAACTTTGAATTCTGGGGCATGTAGGTGGTGTTGGTTAAGCATCTGACTCTTGGTTTTGGCTCAGGTCATGATCTCATGAGTCAAGGAATCGAGCCCCACCTTGGGCTCCACACTCAGCAGGGAGTCTGCTTGAAGAGTCTCTCCCTCTGGCCCTCCCCTAACTCACATGCTCTCTTACTTAAATCAATAAATCTTTTTAAAAATTACTATGCCAGTTATTCACAGAAATGAAAATAATAGCAAATGTTGCTGCATGCATTTTAATTTTCTTTTGGAAACATTCTAGTAAATGCTTGTGGTCATGTGAAGAGTTAGGAGCTGACTCAGCAGTCTAGGCTTCACAGACCCCCAGCGCTGACCATCAGAGGAACTCTAAGTCTGTGACTGTGGCATCTGAATCTGATTCACTTCAATTTCTTGACTAGGCCTAATTTGTTGGTTGTACTTTGCTGTAACAACATTAGGAACTGCACCATCTTCCTACACAAAGACAGTAATGATTTTTATCTGTGTGTAGATGTAGCACAGTTTCTTTTAAGTAGGTTCATGGAGGGAAAAAAAAACCCTCAGAACTTTCCCTTTTTTCTTTGGATGCCCTCCTTCTAGCAGAGTTTATCTGGAAACAAAACAAAACTGTCTCTCACCAAATCTGGCCCCACACACACCAGGGATTTAACCAAAGTTCATCCTTGGGGCATTTCCCACCAAGGCTTTGTCCTCCTTCCAAGCTCTGTCATCACACACACTTCATAACCACCATCATCCTGAGCTCTGGCTTACGGAAAATCTATTTTCCATTGACTTTACACAGGTCAATGTTAGACACCAAACATATAGCTCCCTACCTTTGAAAAGCCTGCCTGTCTCCCACTGAAGTCCTCCCCTACTTCCTCTCAGTGCACTTAGAGAAAATATGCTACCAATTCCAAAGGGATTTGGGGGAGGAGAGTCACCAATAATGAAGTGGACACAAAAGTTCTCATCATACTTGAGGAAGAAGGTAAAGGTAGAGAAAAACAACAGCAGCAAAGTAGTGGGGGGATGAAAGCAGGAAGGGCATTCAGGGAAAGAGAGTGAGAGTGGAGAAGACTAGCTACTTCTGCGTTGGTGTCATGAGGAGCAAGCTGAACGGGGTAGGATTTAGGAAAGAGTCCACGAGCCTATTTAGGAAGTCAGGTAGGGAGAGCTACTAAAAGCCTTCATCTTCGGCACACTGAGGCGACTGAGCATGCTCAGTCAGGCCGGGGGTACAGCAGAGATATTAAGTCAACAGATGATATGATAAGGTCCAAATTGTTGGGTCAAGCTCTGGCTACTTAAGCCACATGGGCAAAGGCCAGCACCATGGAGAGTCCCAAGAGGTAATTCCTGCATGGACCAGAGAGGAGCAAATGAACCCTAGGTATTTAGAGAGAGACTGAAGTGTGGTGTTTTAGTTTTGCCGCTGAGACAGAACCTTGTTCTATCTATATTCAAAACCACGGGGATGCCCGGGTGGCTCAGCAGTTGAGCATCTGCTTTCGGCCCAGGGCGTGATCCTGGGGTCCTGGGATCGAGTCCCACATCGGGCTCTCTGCATGGAGCCTGCTTCTCCCTCTCCCTGTGTCTCTGCCTCTCTGTGTATGTGTGTCTCTTATGAATAATACAATCTTAAAAAACAAAAACAAAAAAACGAAACATTTGTTGAGTATCTACCATGTGTCAGGCACACTTACTAGTCCTGGAGAATGACAAGGGTTCTCCATCCTTAAGACATTTGCTACCTTCTGGATAAACTAGAAACTTAAACAAAAATGATGATAGTTAAGATGTATTGATTAATTACTATGTGCCAAACATGTAATACTAATTGCCATATATAAATTGTTTTATTCTTTCAACAGCCCTTATGTAAGAGTTATTTTATTTTATTTTACTAATGAGAGACACACAGAGAGAGAGAGGCAGAGACACAGGCAGAGGGAGAAGCAGGCTCCATGCAGGGAGCCTGACGCGGGACTTGATCCTGGATCTCCAGGATCACACCCTGGGCTGAAGGTGGTGTTAAACCACTAAGCCACCCAGGCTCCCCTATTATTTTATTTTTTAAGATTTTAAAAATTTATTTGTTAGAGAGAGAGAGAAACAGAGTGCATGCAGGAGCAAGGGGTGGGGAGTGGCGGTGGGAGAGAAGGTAAGAGGAGAGAGAAAGAATCTGAGCATGGAGCCCAATGCAGGGCTCAATGCCACAATCCCGAGACCATGAGCCCAGCCAAAATCAAGAGTCAGATGTCTAGCCAACTGAGCCACTCAGGTGCCCCTTATTATTATCTTAAATGAGGTACCTGAGGCATACAAAATGTAAGAAGCTTTCTTCATGTCACATGGCTTATAAGAAATAAAGTCAGAATTTAAAATCCAGACATTCTGACTCCAATGTCTATTACCACACTAGACTGTCCACATGTCAACATTAATAAATGCCACCTATGGCAGAGATATACACAAAGTACCAGAGAACATAGGGGAGATGCACCAGAATCAAAACTGGGGCTGGGAATAGGGGAGAAGTTCCTGGAAGTCATCTAGCAGAGGTGGCATTCAACTTAAATTTTGAAGAACAAGAAGTCGGTCATGGAGAACATGCAGCAGAAGGCGCAGCATGCTCAATCTTACGGTGCCAGGCCTCCAGAAGGTCTGAGGAGCCAATCAACTGTCCTTTCCATTCCTCAGTTTCTAAACATCGGATAATGGACACAAGGAACTAAATGAAGCCTGAAGTGTGAGGTCTACCTAATTCTTTCCAAAGTACAAGACTCCCTAATGGAGGTTTGGAAAAAACAGAGAACAGACAGGTTGGGAGATAGGCCGCGTTACCTTTGCATTCTTGTACCTCAGTCAAAAAAGAAAAAAAGAAATTTCAGTTCAGTATAGTTTCTGGGAAGAGGAGTAATGAAGTAATGGTTTTGAGTATCTTTTCACATGTTCATTGGCCATTTGTGTGACTTCTTCAGAAAAATGTCAATTCAAATCCTTTGCCCACCTTTTTTAAAAGGTTATTTTATTCATTCATTCATTCATTCATCCGTTCATTCATTCATTCATGAGAGACACAGAGAGAGGCAGAGACACAGGCCGAGGGAGAAGCAGGCTCCCCGCAGGGATCCCAATGCGGGGAATCCCGGATCGCGCCCTGGGCCAAAGGCAGGCGCTAAACCGCTGAGCCACCCAGGGATCCCCTTTTGCCCACTTTTTAATTGTCTTTTTATTGTTCAGCTGTAAGTATTCTTTATATATTCTGAACATTAAACCCTTATCAGCATCTACATAATGTTGTATAATAAAGAATTGGACTGGCCTTTGTCTCTAGCTTCTGGGAAACCTCTAAAGTCCTGGAAAGTCTGGTGTCTCTATCATTCATGGTGGGCCCCTCAGACCACACCTGACAGTTTGTATGAATGAAGTGACTCACAATGGCTCCTTAAACTAACACAAACTGAATCACTTTGATAGAAACCAT